AAAATCGCTTGGTTCCTACAATTTGGATATGAAATTTGCTATGAAGAATCATGTTAAATGTAATCTAAGAACAAGCTATAAAGATTAGTTAAATTTTAGGATTTATATCGATTTGGTTTAATACCAAAATAAATGCCCAAACTAGTCTGGTTTTCACGAATAAGAGTCTAAATTATTTTTTTACTCATTTTGGTGTCTAACGTTACAAACGTTACCATTTTAGGTACCCGAGTCGTCAACGACGTTCTTATATTTATAAAAACACTAATTTTCTCTTAAATTATAAAAAAGTCCCAAAATCCCTAAAATTCTCAATTCTAACCTTAACCCACCGCCACTTTTTCTGTCCACAACCATCACCGTCGATGTAGTCCATGTCATCCTCCTAGTCATATGTCGATGTGTTGCTGCCGATTGGCCACCAGAATCGCATGATCGATTTTCATCATAGGGTTTGCAAAACCATCAATTGGTCACAATCTCATAGGGGTTTTGACCACCGGGAGGAGATGAGGTCGGGAGCTTTGTCGACGGTTAAAGGGACTGTTGACTTGAGTTTAGGGGTTGAAATGAAGGTTTTAAAAGTTTTGAGGTTATTTCAAAAAATTTATCTTTTTTAAATATAATTTTATTTTTTAAATTTTAAATAAATTTTAAAATCACTAGATTATGACTTGTCATTTAACAGGGGAAATTAACACCATTGACGGTTCGAGCACCTTAAGTTGTAACGTTTGTATCGTAGGCACTAGGATGAGTCAAAAAAAATACTTTAGGCACCTATTCATGAAAAATGTTATAATTTAGATACTTATTTTACTATTAAGCTATAGGTTATGTATTTAAAATATATTATTTTTGTTGATGCATCGTTAATTTTAATAAAAATAACGTGGTTGTCTAATAATTAATGTAATAATATATTTAATATTTATATATTTAATTTAATTAATTTAATATATAATTATTTAATTTAATTTAATTTAATATATAATTATTTTAGTATCATTATATTTATCAAACAAAATTTTATCCTTAAAATATTATTGAAGGATATTTTTTTGGCATAATAAAAACATACTCAAATATTTTATTAATGTTATTAAATTTAAGCATATTTTAAGGCATTTTCAAATTTTCAAATTTTCAAATTTTTTGTAAGTGTGATTAAGACATCTCTCCTTAGTAAAACGACGAGATGAAATTTCTTTCGTTAGAGAAAAAAATATCTTGACACTTGTTAAGGCAAAATGAAGGAACTCTTTTCGTTAGAGAAAAAAATATCTTGACACTTGTTAGGCAAAAGAAGGAACTCTTATTGTTGGAGTAGACTCTTGACCCTCCTAAGTAAATCCCACAAGTTGTAAGCTTGGGTGGAGACAATTTAAACGATTTTAGGGTAGAAGTATCTCGTTATCAGTGAATAACGAAAGCATATTAACTCATCTAGTTGGTTATTGAAGTACAAATATTTTAAAAAAATATATATAACGGAAACAAGTCAATTCTTTCAGTCATAGAGAAGACATTCCTACCATGGCAGCATAATAAAAGCATCTCAACATCATGGCATCATGACGAAGGATATAAGACTTCCCACAGAGACAATTAAAAATATTATTGGAGAGGTGATAGAGAACTTTTGAAGAATTTCAATGCTCAAGCAGAGGAAGTAAAACTCTGATGTTTACCTTCATTATAGGTGTTGTAGCACTAATATGTACTAAGAGATAGACACAGAGTTCTCTGTAACACCCTAGTTGAATATAATATATCCGACGACCAAGATGTTACATTCGAGTCACGGAGTAACCAACAAATTTCTAAGATTTTAAAACACATTTTTATATAAGAGAAATATCATCAAATAATTATACTAAAATAGTATTAAAAGTGGTTATAAAAAAAAACCAAGTGATGCTCCATCATAAGTTTATATATATACCAAAAATAGTTAAATATTTCCAAAATAAAAACGAGTAACAGACCTCAAAATAAAAGTGAGATCCTATGAATACAATGCTCACTAACAGCTAAAGTACTGTACTCTGAATATCGAGATGCTGGAAATCCCGCGTCACTCATATCCGCTAATCAAATAAATCTCGATGTTCGAATTTTTTTCCCGAGTGGCACACATGACCGCTAGTTAAGTAGAGCCCGAAGGTTGTGCGCAAACAAAACATCAAACAACTAATGCCATATAACACAATAAATTCAAAGTCTTATGCTTATTCCAAACTTGCAAGATAGTTATGCTCGAGTATATTTTAGTCATTTAAGCTTTACAAAGTCATAAATCATGACTAAAATATTAATCATTCAAATATGGCAGTTTACACTACCTCTAAAGAAAAACGTGTAATTAATAATGTACAAATCTAAACCATGTTCCGTTTGATTTATAAGAAACTAGATCCACTAATTCTTCCAAACCATATAAATTAAATTTCTAATTTAAATTGTACTATTTATGGTGAATTTTTAAATTCACTATCCCTTTTGTTTTTCGAAACAGTGTACTACCTTCTCTTCTGACCTTTGTACACTCAAAAATTTATAACTCTGAAATTATAGCTTAAAATTAAGAATAATTTGTTTTAAATAAAACTAGACTCTCTAACCGTTACAAGTATATAAGGTTCACTTCAAATATTTATTATGGAATTTTTGGTGACTTTTCAAAGTCACTGCCGAAACCTGTTTTCTAAGGATTCTGCTGTCCATATTTTTGACCTTTCATCACTTAAAGATTCGTATCTTTTCGTATACAAATCAAAATCAGTATCCGCTTGTTTTAAATGAACTATACTGAATTCCGGTTACAAAGATATAAAGAGAAGTTTCTAATTATATTTTTATAGATTTTAATACAACATTTTAAAGTTACTACACGTTCAAACAATTTTCTAAACAGATTTTACAACAAAATATTTAACTTCATTTAAAGCATTCCAACATGCTTTTCACCCAATACATACAACATACATGCATTATCATCACAAGCATTATATTTATAAATTTTCAAGAAGCATAGAAGAAACCTTTGGAAGATGAAACGGTGAAAGAAAACTTCACACGTCAAGCTCTCTCTATCTCTTACGGTTTAAGGAAAAACATGGGTAAAGAATGGAGAAAGGTAGAAATAAATGCTAGAAAATTGAAGGAAAAGATAAAATAAGGGGAAATAGGGACAAACAAATCACTTTGCCCATACCCCTAGCAGCCGGCCAAGTCTTCTTCCATTAATGTTGGAGATGATTTTTGAAAAAAAATGGGTAAATCACTCTTTATGTCATCCAACTTCCCACCGCCTCACACAAGCTTCACACCATTCTTAATTACTTAGAAAAGGTCCAAAATCCTTTCAATTTAAGCCTAACAAAACTTGAACCTCCAATTTAATTATTTATTATTAACTCGAGTCAACGCTTGGGTATTGACTCGAGAAATTGGATCGTTACATCTTAGTACATATTCTCTCCATGGTATCAAATTGGACTTTTTAATCTAGAAATTTACCTCGATGAATCAATTTTTCTTATCAGAAATCAATTTTGGATATGACTAGAATCTTTCCTAAAATAACCATCAGTGACACTTTGTCTGTACCTATCACTTGTCACAAGTTTAAGCAACATTAACAAATTTCTCAATAGAGAAAATGTTGTGGATGTACAAGAGATGTTTTAAAAGAATATGAGAGGATCATGTCGACTGATTCTTTTCAGTGAAAGGATTCTTCATGCTCACTGCACCAATTGTTGATGGGAACAAATGGGTTATGTCAGTCCTTGAAGATTTATCCTTTTTGATTTAGGAAAGAGTCATAGTCGATGGTTCATGGTGGTATTGTAGAAGATTTTAATTGTATGTTTCTTTAAAAACATCCAGTAGAAATAAGATAGAAGATAAAGTCATTGAGAGAGAAAATTCCCATTCATTAGCCTTGTATGATCATTTATATATTAATTCTCAGTATTAGTGTCGATGATATGATTATGATGATTATTTGTAGGTTGACAAACTAAATAGATTTAATTGTTAAAAAATATATTTTGTTCTAGAAAATCATGTGGATTTTTTAGAGGCTATATTGAGATTGTAGTTATTCGAAAGATGTAAAACTATGAAGCTTTAAAAACTTGAAAGAACTCAACACTCAAATAATGAAGAATAATAGTAAAGGTAGACTTGGATGTATAACAATAATTAAATAAATTTATAACGTAAATCATTTTTTAAAGTAAACAACCTTAAATAACATTAAAAAGAGTAACTTAAACAAGTCATAAATAATGATGAGAAGTCAGCCTCCATGATATGTTAAATTTAATAGCGAAAAAATAATCAAAGTGATATAATATAAAAGATAATATGCATAATAGACGAGACTTAACGTGATTCAACATTATCTACATATATAGGTGAAATGAACAATAATTCACTATAAAATAAAGAACAATAAGAGTACACTATATAGATACCAAAACTCAGTATATCTCAAAAGCTCTCAATATCCTTATAAAATTATCTCTAAAACATAAATCTTAAAAAGTTATAGAGATCCAAGAAATGATTATATTTCTCCAAACTAATTCTCTTTACTTAATTCTAAAGACTAAGGCATATCTCTATTTAAAGCCAAATAGTTAGCTACCTAGAATTCTATGTCTAAAATAAATATTTAATTATTAAATAAACTCAAATACTAAAATTAAAATAAAATTCAACTTAATTACTAATTATAATTTGAATCAAATATAATATACATTAAAAAAATAAAAGACATGGCATCGAAAAAGATTATTCAAAGATTTAAAACCCAATTGTACGTGTTTCTTTAAGAAATTAAACTAATCAGAAGAAAAGGAATGAAGAATGATAAAACACCACAACCAAAATGATTTAAGGCTTTGTTAATTACAGAAACAACCATTCAATTACCAATCCCATGATTTTGTGACAACGAAAAAAAATGAAAAGAGAAAAGAAACCAATCAATTCGCTCTTCCAATAATAAACCTCATACTGGATGAATGCGTAAGAGAATCCTTCTTCTTCCTCTTGAAGCCAACCAACTTTGACCAAAATCCTTTCTTCTCCTTCTCCTTCTTCTTCTCCTTCTTCCTATTGCCAAAATCTTCGCCATCGAAATCTCTTGCTACAAAAGCAAGGGACTTACTCTTCTTAAAACCATTTGAAGTGGCCCTGAAGAGGAGGAAGGCCAAGGTTTTGGTCCGCCGGAGAAAAAAGCAGTGAAGGAGCGACTCTTGAATTCATAGATTCTTTGTATGAAGAAGATGATGAACAAAGACGAGATAATCTTTCCCTTATACACGATGGGCAAACCCCTTGATTTCCTTGGTGATCTGGGTGCTTCTTGCATCCATGCCTTGATTCAGAGAACCCCATTTTTTTGGACTGCTGATGTTTTTCTTTGTGTATATATAATAGACGACTTGAAGGGAAAGCAATTTCTGTTAGGTTTGCAAAAGAGTTTATCCTATGCAACGAAGAAGTTCTCGGCCGGAGGGTGACTTTAGCTTTTCTCTCACACGTGCATTAAGGAATGAGAAATGGAAAAAGACATGTAGGGCTCGACTTTGAATTGATGACTTTTTCTTGATAAAATAGAATGGAAAATGTTTTTTTTTTCTTTCCCATAAAACCAAATTAGGGTTTGATTAGTATAAGTATGGGATGGTGTAAGGTCTTACGTAAGTTTTAGTTCATGTGAACATAATTGCGCAGTAATGTAATCAATATGTTATACCAAAAAAATAAAAATAATAATAATAAACTCTTATCTTCTCATTTCTAGAAGAGATTAACAAACTAGTCAGTGGTAATGACTTGTCTAAGTTTAAAATCTGTTGGTATAATGTAGAATTTTTATGGTTTACCTAATGAAAATTCTGAAAGAGACGGTTTGTTGCCTCAGAACTTGAAATTATCAAAGAGAACACATCATTAGAAGTGAGTATTTCAAATCTAATCTAATCAAATTAAATTAATAAATTTAATTTATTTGAGCTGAGGAGTATATTTTATCAATATAATTTTTTTATTTAAATTTAAATTATTATAATATTATGGTATTCTAATCTAAAAGACTCTCTGACTAACTAATTAACTATATATATATACACACACGTGTAACTATACGTAAGATTTGTAATGCTATTTAATAAATCAATAATATCTAAAATTTTATGGTGTATTTATAATATTATTTTTTTTTTATAAATAAGAGATTTTAAGAACAAAATATTGATTAGAGTATAGATGAGTCAAATAATTGATGAGAAAAAAGAAAATGTAAAAAAATTGCAATTAAATGATTAAATTAAATTAAATTAAATGAAAATTGAGACGTTAAATTATAGAATAAAATTAAAACTATGCATACATTCTGAAGTGATTAAGGATCATACTGTTAAAATTTAATCAAAATCTTTGCCTTGTTGGTGGGACACTTTCTCTCATAATCCAACAGCTTGTTAACTAGGTTTGGGCTGTTACAGCCCATGAGCTTTACTCAAATTTGAACAAAATAAGGTCATTCTTGTTAAAGAAACATATGAAATTAACCAAGGGAAATGGAACGATGATATTATAAATAAAATAAGGTTGTTAACGAAATGATGATATTATAAATAAAATAAGGATTAACGTTAGAATTAAATAGAAATAAACTTTTCATAAATATATGAAAAACAATCAAAACAGATAGGATACTTATTTAAATCTAAATCAAAAGAATTAAATTAATTAAAACAAAATGAAGATGAAGACATTAGGCTGCGGTTTAAAAATTTATTTTAAAGAAAATTAGGGATTTAGATATATAAATAAAAAATTTAATTAGTTTTAATATTAAAATAATAGTATTTAATTCGAATATTTTTTGTTAAATTTAATAGAATATTCACCCTACTTATAATTTGTGAAAGGAGAGGCTTAGCTTGGGACACAGCTGGAGCGGAGTGCGGAATTTGGGCCCAAAACAACAAAGAGTGAAGAGAATTGCAGGGATCTCTGCCTCTTTTGGTTTATTAATAAAACATAAAATACCACAGTTCAGTTGACGTGTGTCTCACTGTACCTTAAAAAAGAAACTTCCCATTTTCGATCTGCAGTGGCCGAGTCAATAAAAGTAGGGAAGTTATAAGGACATCTTTATGCACAGTTAAAAAAATATATAATTTTGTTATTATTAATAATAAAATTAATAAAAAATTACTTAAAAAATTATTATTTTTATCTAAAACATCAATATTTTGTAATATTTCTGTTAAAGTGTCTAACAATAACAAAATTAATAGAAAAAATAACAAAATCGATAACGTTTTACCAAAACCGTTTAAGTATACAATAATAACAAAACTAATAAAATAATAATATTTTAATAATTTTTTACTGATTTTTTATTTAAATAATAATAAAATCAATAACATCTATTTTTAACAATATATTTCCTGCATGAGATCATTTTTCATAAAAGGGTCGTTGACGCCCCAAAAGACAACTAAGTCTTTGCCGTCCTCCCACTCTTTATTTTCTTTCTTCAAAATATACTCCATATTTATTCAAGTTTTAAATATTCGAGCACTCAAATACAACATTGGATGACAATTGGGTTAACTACATGGAAAATCACTCATGTTTATGTTTGTCTATTTTTGGTCATTGATTTCAAAAAATCATGAGATATGATCATTTTTGTTTTTATTTAATTAAGATATGGTCACCTTGAATTAACTGTAGTTAACAATAGTTAAGTATTTTGATATAATAACATATTCGGGCTTAGGGGGTTGAGGCAAAGTGACTAATGAAATCTGAGACCAAACGACCACCATCTACGATAACCACTGTTTTGATTTTGTTACTTTTGATTAGATTCGGAGTATGTTCCAACAAAATAGAGGACATGTTCGAACTTAGGAGTCGAGATAAAGCGACCAATGACTAATTTGACAAAGACTAATTTGAATCAACTCGTGTCGCACACCTGATTTTGATGAATAAATCTTTCGAATGAGATTTTTCATATACATAAAACTTTAAATTCGAGATCTACTTAAGTAATATCAAGTCGAATTAAATGTATTACTAGGAACATCTCTAAAAAAATAATTTGTTCGACAATTAAATGGGTCTTGATCCAGTATCCTTCTTGAATTCGAAAATCGAACCATTAAAATTATTGTTCATAAAGGTTAAGGTTTTCAAGTGGGGCTAGATTGTAAAGGTTTTAACGCCAATGGTGCCTGATAATTTCTATTTTTGAGTTATAGACTAAACGATGTCACTTGTTTGCAAGTTTATCATCCAATGGAGGGATGAAATTCTTTTCGCAACTCTTTGTGTGATTGACTAACGAAGATTTAAACATGAGAAGGATTTTGGTATTCGATAATTCTTAGGAGGAAAAAGATGTAAAACATTTTGATTATGAGTATGGATGGACTCTAGCTGAGTGGGTAGGACAGCTCCATAAATATTTTTGATTTCTTATATATTTTAAGTTCATCATTTTTTAAAATTTTATAAATTCATCCCTCAATAATATAAAATTTTACTTTACTCCCTAATTATAAGTGTATAAAGATTTGATTGCGTTGACAGCGATACGATAATTGATCGTCGAAAACAATAGAATTTGGTCGATGTATAAGTTAGAATGGATTGAAATTTGATTTTAGGTCTTGAAAATCTCAAATCAATATGTTTAAGATAAGTATTATTCTTTTCCATACTATAACAAATAATCAACTTGTTTTGGTGGTTAAATATTATTGAAGCCTCTTCTACCATACTCGAGTTTGATCCCTCATATGCCCAAAACCATGTTTTTAACTTTTAGTTTTTGAAACAATGACAACTAGATTCATTAATAAAAAAATGGAAAAAATCATAATTACAACGTATTTAAAGAGAAAATTGGAGACAATAATCACACACAAAACTCATACATAAAACAAAAATATTAAACTCAAAGATACGAAAAAATGAAACATTCAATTGAAAATGATGTCCAAAATCAAAAGTACCTAGTAACCTTCATATAACTTATTTTCTCTGTTGAACGAGATGTTTTTACAAAGTGATAAAGGAGTGGTGAGCAATCCAAACAATTTGGTAGACTGTTTCGTTACACAATTTTGATTATATCGGCAAACAACATTTTACCAAAAGAGGAGATTTGACAATACGTGACCAACAAATCAATCAGAAAACAAATTTCGTGAGGATCTTTGTGCAAGCACCAACATGAACGTAGAGATATGCATAAAACTTACCAAAAGCCATAAGGAACGTGTCAAAAGAGCAGATAAAAAGCATGTCACAAGAATAGGAAAAAAAAACGTGTCATAATGACAAAGATTCTTATTGAAAATTGAAAAAAAATCAAGAAAAAAAGATAAACATAATATGAAAAGAATAATAAAAATAATAATCATTGGCAGTCGACAATCAATATTAAAATTGGTGTTGTCTCCAGTTAAACAAAAATCAAAAGAAAAAAAAAAGTATGACATAAAAATATTAAGAAAAAACATAGTTTAGAGAAAAAATACATTTCCATTAGAATCCTTTTTTAAATTTATATTGTGTTAGCTTTTAATTCTTAAACCAATCAAATGATGACAATTAATTAAAAGTAAACATCTAAGAAAATTATATATATATACATAGCTTTTTTTTATAAAAAAAAAGTATGAGTCTGTACTAAGTACATGTGGATGTTCCAATTTTAAAGAAAAACACGTAAATGAACCACATTAATAATAAACATTCATAGTTAATCAATTAATAATTTATATATTTAATAATTAAGAGTGATGTGTCTAATTTAATTAATCGATAGTAAAGTCCTGACAATAATTTATCTATGATCAGCTGATTAAGCTCGACAACATTAGCTTGTCATCCTTACATCAAGGTTTATTCTAAATGACGATTAGCTAATATTTTTGTGCATGCTCTTTCTCAATAAATGTTGTTCTTGAATTTATCTGTCTTTTATTTATGATTTGTTATATTTTGTTTTTACTTACGTAATAAGTGATGCTATTTTCGGTTAATAAAACTACGAATTTCATAAAAAATAATAATATAAATTATACGCATACTCACTAAACTTTACTCTATTTCCTATTTCACTTATATACTTTCAATTTTTTCAATTTATTCACTAAATTTTAAACATTAAACTTTTTGTCACTCCACCACTGATACAGTAAAAACTGCATGACATGGAATTATTTAATATTAAAAGAATCACCAGATTAGTCACATCAGATTGTCAATAATAATAAATTACATTAGATTTTCAATAAACCTAAATTTTGTTCCTAAATCTAATCCCAAATTACAACCTCACCATACCCCACTCCACCCTCACC